CACGACGAATATACTGATGTTGCACATCAAATTAAACAGCAGAACCTGGGCTACAAGACTGTAAAAATATGCTCCAAACACAGCTCAAACAACAACTAAATAAACAACAACAAATCCAACTCCATACAGCTACAATATCCCGACCCACTCGGTATATTTCGGGCCTAACTCGACCGGACGTTATGCAAAACACACGCCGTTCTTCTCAGATGAAAGCTGAGACTCCGCTTTTTCCACACATATGCGCCAAAGCACTGTACCACAAAGCATCAGAGAGCTACAGCCCAAAGACAACAGAAATCTTTTCCATCTCTCTCTTACCTTATTATTTTCGCCGTGAAAAGGGCATTCTGCTGTTAAATCACGTTTCATTCCCGTTCACCGTGATATTGTTGTCCTTCATTCAAATGAATCCGGGCGGAAAAACTTGCTGGCCAAAGGTTCCAGGGGAAGCATAACAATGAATACCATGAAAGAAAGACTGACTCACTGACACAATATGATACCCCCTTTACGTTTATTATTCTAAATAATAAAAAGTGGCATAAACATTTGACAGACATGCCAAAAGCTTGATAAAGGGGCTAAATCACAGCTGCCTCTAAAAGGATGCAAGGCTCAGGCGTAGCCTAGGCCTACATTTTTTAAACATTCAAGGCAAACTCAGTGCTGCTGTGCAGTGAGTGACTGAGTGCACATGTGTAAAGTGCAGAAACAAGATGGCATTTCAGAACAGCCAAACTTCAATTTTCCCAAACGTTCCTATTGAATATAGGCCTAAGAAAATGAAAAATCAAACTGTCTATTAGAGGTCACGGATGTCTCTCAACTAGGCCTAAAAACACATACATTTGCAATCGCAAAAATATGCCTACAAATTATGCCAAAATGCATCAAATTCAGAAGTCCTTAAAATAAAATAAAAAGACAGCCTAGGCTACTTAAAGCCTAAAACACACAAATAATGGTGGGCTACTTTGACTTTCTTCTAATACAGTCCTTATTGATTGGGCCTACCAAAATAAAACAAAACTTTCACCAACCAACTATTAGAGCCTATTGATAGTAGGCTATCACAGTGATCTTATTTAAGCCTACTGGCCTTCTTTGATAAAGTAGTGGTTATAGTGCATGAGAAGGAGGATTTGAAAGCGTTTATCTGACAAAAAAAAGCCTTTCTACGGGCGCACTGGACGGAGTTGGGGTGTTTAATTTGAGAAAAATCCTCTTGATCATTGGATGGTTGTTTAACACGTCTATATCATGCCCAGAATGCAGATACTCCGCTATCTCAATGTCCTCTGAGGCAGAAACCTGCTGTGTGTCTTCTGGAAATGTGAAAAAGTCATCCTCTGGGTCTCTCACGGACGCAGTGGGTGCAGCTGACGGCAGTAGTTCCCCCGAGAGGTGGGCATGACATTCAGCAGCGAGCAGCGCTTTGGCCTTGTCTTTTTGCTCCTGGTCCCTGATCCAGCGCAACTTGAACTTGGGACGGGTCACAGCAGCAAGCAAGGCCTCCTCACTCTCCAGCGTGGAGGCGAACCATTTCTTGACTGCCTACAAAATATATCAATAGTATATTGTTAGGCTAAAACTTCAAAAAAGTGTATGCATGTTTATTTATTTATTTAGGCTAGCCTATATTTGTGTATTTTTATACTGCATAGGCTTCTAAACCTAAAATTTAAATGGCAGTAGTATTATGAAAACAGGTTATAAATCATACATTTTATTTTTAGAATATAGCTGCCATCTGGCAAGCATGATCAAAATTATTTAGCCTACCTTGATGATGGTATCAGCCAGGCCTGATGCCATGCGGGAGAGGCTGTCCTTCAGCTTTTGGGTTTTGGTCATCAGGGACTCGAGAGCTGGCAGGATGGTTCCAAAGTAACAGTTGTTCTCCCCTTGGAGAATATCCAAGACTCTAGAGAGTGGCTGAAGGACTATGCAGTACTCCTTCAAAAACTGGTACTCTTTATCTGTGACGCACCTGATGCCTAGCCGGGTGCACAGGCTGTTCAGGTCTGGTAGGGACATGTTGGTGACCCTGCGCACGGCATTATAGAAAGAGTTCCACCGGGTTTTACATGGCACCAGCAGCGACCGCTTGCTAAACTCCGTGATCTCTGCTGCCACAGTTGACCTACTGGCTTTGGTCCAGACTGTAGAGCATTTGGCGATTGCACTTCGGTACACTGCTTTGGCTTCACCATTTGATGACCAGTTTTCTATGTCTGCAACGCATATTAGGTTCAGTGTGTGTGCGACGCACATCTGTGGTGTGGAGGGAGAACACACGTACATGTGTCGTCGTCATTGGTGGAAAGCAAGTTGTCTAGGTCTGCAAATGTCACATCTTCATCAGCGACCTCCTCGTACTCCTCATCTGAGTTGGAATCTGGTTTTCGGAACTCCTGGAAGGCCTTAACGAAGTTGGAACCGTTGTCAGTGACAGTAGCTGTCACTTTACCGCCCAGGCCATATGAATGGTGTATCTGCTCAATCTCAGTGGCAATTTTGCCATACGTATGTCTCCCTTTCACTATTCTGCACGCTAGAGCAGCTTTCTTGTGCTGCAGAGTGGAGGGGTCAATCCAGCGGGTAATCATAGTTCTTGTTTCTCGTTCCAGGTACTTAGCAAATGTTTTCCTGTAAAGAATTATAATAATGAAATTTATTGGTATGTTACTAGTACTACACTTCACAAGTGAAACAAATCTCAGAGTCCATTCTAGAATAGGTGATGCCTGGTACACACTACATGATATCAGAATGAATAAAGGACAATGAGTGTAATAATAACATTAACAAATAGTGGCTTTTACTCACCACAACTGCAGAGGCTACCAACTATGTGAAACAGACTACATTATAGACGGTCCGTTATTTATTATTTCCTCTGTATCTTTATATATTTACTTTTTATCTGCTCCCGTTGTCTTCATAAAGTGAATGCATCGCGCTGCCATTTCAAACTAAACACTTCCTGATTTCCTTCAAATTAAAAGCTTATAACCTCCGCTGAGAGAATCCCTCCATTTTCTAATTAGGCTTTTATTCTGAAACATTTGTATGAACTTGGTTGTGGAGGATACAGACAGTAGCTTGAATGTTTACATACGGTGCTTCAAATGTAGCTCCTGCCATCTGTTGACGCTTTTAGGTGACTACAACAACATGTCGGCTGGCACGTGGGGAGACACAGTGACTGAAATAATAGTAAAAGTAATAAAAATAGAGCAAGAATAACCTGATGACAACACACACACTGTGAAAGACGACCGGGGATAATTGATATGGACCATTGTGTAGTGTGTCATGTCTGCCGGCCAAGTCACGGCATGATTTTATCGTGTAATGTGACATAGTGACTTTCAGAACGGGCAGAAAAGTCCTGTAGTGTGTACCAGGCATAATGCAAGTCCTGAGTCTGACCTCACCTGTCTGTCAGCAAGTCCTTGCCCTCCATCTTTTGAGTTGTGGGGATTTTACTGACGATCTTGTGGAAAGTTTTGGACTCTACCGTAGACATTGGCAGCATTTCTTCTACCACATAGCTAGTGACAAGCTTCATGACTTCTTTTGAACTGATGTTTTCTCTGTTTTTTTGAAGCAAAAGACATTCTTTGCTGTTTGGGAGCTGAAGGACCCGCATTCTGCTCAGGGGGAGGCCTGGCGGCTACCAATGTGGTCGCGCTGCGTTTCGCTTTAAGGTGCTTGGTTAGATTCGAATTGGAGTTTTTTGCCGTCGAGAGGGTATTATTCCCAGCACACAGCTTACATTTTACCATCAAGTTCTTGTCTTTTCCCCGACTACAGTAAAGTAATGGGAATATTTCCAAGCCTGAAACGCACCTTTCGCAGCCTCGTCAACGGCACTCATGTTGGTAAGTAACTGACCGCCACCGGAATAGCGTAGCCGGAGCGGAGGAAGAGGAAATAGATTGTTTTTTTTAAATTATTATCATTTTTTAATCAACACAGATAATTATTATTATTTTTTAATCAACAGAGTTGAAAACATATACAAGTGCACATATAAAAGTAACGCAAGTAACTGATGTCTTGTTTGAAAATGTACTTAAGTATTTGATTACTCAAACAGTAAACTAATGCGTTAGGTTACTCGTTACTGCAAAAAGTAATCAAAGTACCCAACTCTGCTGTCGAGGACATGCTCCATGAATTGGTCGCGAAGTAGGACCCCTGCGTTAAGTAAACCATCAGGTGCACGCTGCTTTACTTGATCTATGAGCCATTCTGCCACAGTAAGAAAAAGTATAATGTTAGATGTCATTTGTTAAGCTATGAGTACAGAAAAAGTCCACTAGCCGCTAGGCTAATTTTTGCAATGTAAACATGCTCAAGCTAATAATGGGTGACTTGCAACTTGACAGTTATTATTGAGCTGAATTTGCTACTTTTTTAAATGATCATGTTGTCATCCGTGAAAAATACGGTTAGCTCTTGCCCGTCTGAATGGTTGGCTGATGTAGCCCTCACCCGTTATAACTAATGCTGGTTAGTACAGGATTCAAACACGCTGCAGGATGTCCAGTAAAAGACAGATGCAGTTGAAGCTGACTTTAAGAACTTTATATAGAGGCTTCGTCACCATTTACAGCACATCCACACACAATCACCCACAGCAATTTCCAAAGGTGCCTTAATGTGGTTCTGAAATAAAATAATAAACATTGCTGAATATGTACATACCCAGACAGCAAAATGACACTGTGGCAGATCTGCGCCAGACTGTGGATAACATTCGGTGCAGATCCGCCAAACGGGTCTGCACCGGGGTCTTTATTCACAATGGCCCGATACCAGCGCAGATACGGATTACTGATCTGGAACGGACTTGGGCCAGTTGTGGCCCTGCATAATTAATAAAGCTCTATGACATTTGGTTCAGATCTGGCACAGATCCGATATTTTACATCTGGGCCAAATGTGTACACATACAGCACAAAGAAATGCACATTTGTCTTCAAAAAATGTTTATTTATAGGTTTACATTTACCCCAACCAAATAGCTCTCTTTGTCAGACTTACATGTACATAAAAACATCAAACCTCTCTTTGTCAGAATTACATGTACTTGTAAAACTCAACAGGGTCTTTTTCATAATTACATGTACATGAAAACACCAAACAGCTCTCTCTGTCAGACTTAAATGTACATTTAAAACCCAAACTACTCTCTTTGTCAGACTTGCATGTACATTTAAAACCCTAACAGCTCTGTCAGACTTACATGTAAAACACCAAATAGCTCTCTGTCAGAACATGTACATAAAAACACCAAACCACTCTTTGTCAGAATTACATGTACATGAAAACACAAAACAGCTCTCTCCATCAGACTTACATGTACATTTAAAACCCAAACAGCTCTTTGTCAAACTTACATGTACATGAAAACACCAAACAGCTCTCTTTGTCAGAATTACCCACACATATGCATGCATGCATGCAAGCTGAGGCTGAGCACGAACCACAGAGGAAACATTACCATTAGGAACAGTCCACCGGCACTTAGTCACAAGGGTGTCAAACAGTCAAACAGTCCAGAATGGGCACTTAGGAATAGTTCATTGGGACATAGTTTGTTGTGACCGTTGTCTACGGCCACCCCCACGGTCAGAAGCCAAATTAAACCACCTGATGGAATGGTGGTTTATTTCCATGTCCGTTGCCTTTTCCCCCTGATGGTTCTTGCGCACAGCCCCTACAGTACATTAAAATAAGAAAAACACACAGAGCAAACAAAAGGTTATGGTCCAGAAACGACCAACTCAACATTTTGATTTCTGTCACTTTATCCCACAATGCAGTTTTGTATGAAATAGTAAACTACACAAATATCTTGTGACTTTAGGAGAAGTTAAAAGCTCTGTATTAGAAACCAGGCAACCCCCGCAAGCTGGTTCAGGCAGACAACTCAAGCTGCTCAGTATTCTCATATGATATAGCCTGAGTCATTACCATTCACACCAATCACACCTTTGTCAATGACACTCTGGGTAAAATTATGGAAAACAGACAATGCATATGCATCGGGGTTCCATTTCCCTGTTGGGAGTTATTTTTTTAGTAATCACTGGCTCACTACATACATTATACCTTACTTAGACAATAACAGAATTAATTTTTTCTGGTCTCAAGTCCACTAAAGACACAGGGCTAGATTTGCTGAGGACATTTGACATTTTGAGGAGCAATATGTATATAATTCACACTTACGTGCGAGGAGAGCCTTGGTTGCCATCTCGCTGAACTTCTTTTTATTATTAACTCCCTTCCAATTTATCTGTTTGGCAACACTAGATGAAAAAATGTGTGCCAGGATATTCCAGGTGACATGCTTTATGTCACGTCCCTCAATAGAGGCCAGCACAGCGACCTGTAAAAATAAGGCACTGAATTTGCAATGAAGAAAAAAACAGTAAGAAAGTAATCACTGAGAGAGTACATAATATAAACTAATGTGGTGTTTGCAAGATATATACCATTTGTTTCTTCTTCATAGCATTCGCTGGGTCATTGAGCCAGTCCTCAAAACAGTCCACCTCAGCCAGTGAACTCAAAGGAAAGGAGATGTCGTCTGGCATCTCTGATGCTGGTTCACGTGCAGCGTTCAGTCGTGACATGAGGAGATTCATCACAGAACTTTGTTGGTTAAGCTGGTGTTTTAGGTTCTCCAAAAGAGTGAGCATGTGGAGCTCGGCAGCTACAAAAAGAACATCAAAATTTAGAGAGGTCATGATGAGGATACTAAGAGCAAAACAAAACAATTCTATGGAAAACAAGTCATTTTAAATTATAGACAAAAATCTCACTGACTTAATTTTGTGTTAGGCTGTTTCTTTTAGAATCAGTTTTTGAATGTTTTTTTTTTTAAATTTGAAGTTATTTTTTCAGTGTTTAATTCATCTATGACATTTTGTTGATAGGATTCAGAATTGTATGAGTTTAAATGATCAGTTCAATATTGCATCAGGTGAGGGATTAGTTAACACTTACGTGTGCAGGGAATTGGCTCCCTCCCAGAGCGGCCAGCTCTTAAAGTGGGCATGAACACTTCCGAGTCGGTTTCCAAAGGATTTGTGGACTGAGATGAATGGAAATGTTCAAAAGATGGCAGTGGAGGTTGTGGTGCAATCGAGGACAGCCCAGGATGTGTTGGATGGAAGGATGATGTATAAGAAGTCACGAAGTAGGTCAGCTCTGTGAGTGTCGGCTCAGGAGGAGGGAGCTCAGTAGGTGCAGCATGAGCGGATGGCCCTGGAGGAGATGGTGATGGTGGAGGTGCAGCAGTGGAAGATAGCCTTGGAGGTGGTGGTGGAGGAGCAGCAATGGAAAATAGCCCTGGAGGTGGCTGTGGTGGAAGTGGAGGTGCAGCAAAGGAAGATGGCCTTGTAGAGGGTGCATTGCTGAAAGGACAAAAATAAATGGCGTTGTGTACATTTTCCTACCTATTATATTAGTGTCATATCATGCAGTGCAGAGAAAAAAACAAAAATTAACAGCTCAGCAGTTTAGAAATCTTTTTTTTAAATGCACACAAAAGATTGGTTTGCAGGATTAGAAAACACCCTAATCTAATATGATAAATCAGACAGTGGTTATATTTACCTTCGTGATGACAATGGGGATGCTGATGACTGCTGAGGGTGTGTTATTGGAGTTGAGCCTTTTTGGGATATGGCTTATGGATTTTTTTTAGGAACACACTCAGTGTCACTCTCCTGTTCTGTATCACCATAATAGTGGCTGGATAAACACAAACACAAAAATACATTTTACATCATGTTCAAATCGCATGCATTTAAACATAACAAATACATCGAATCCCTCTTACATTGGTTTAGGTGTTCTCCTAACACGGCCAACCGGTGAATCCTCATCATGTGAATCCAACTCAGATGTGTCACAGGTCAAAGACTTTTTCATACCACGCCAAGCTGACATGTAGTCATCGAAAACAAAATTGACATTAGTAAATTACAGGTCATAATCTTAATTTGAGAGACAAACACAATTACAGCTAAATTCTGGAAGATATTAAGTTTTAACAATAACCAGATGTTTAAATATTTTTTTTTTTACCATATGTCTTCAAAACTCTGACAGGATGCCTTGTCCAGTTCTGTCCAGGTGCCTCTGCACACCGCACAGCTTTATTGATCCGCTCATCACTTGTGTAATTTGGCCAGAGGGTGAAACCAGCACTGTACCATGACTGAGGTACTACTGCCACAGACTTTGCTGCATCAAAGTACTGAACAACATGAAACATCCTAGAAAAAAAGAGAAATAAAAGAAAAGAGTAATTTGTATTGCTATTTTTTCCACCAAGATTTTTTAGTATCGACAAAAAGAAATAAACTTACTTGTACTTAGTACATCGATGTTCAGCGTAGAATGATGTTTCAAGACGACTCAACTAACCACAACTTACCCCACTATAGCAAACCAGTTCATCTACTTCTTTAGGCTATGCAGAATTGGTATGGTTACAAAACCTCTTCTGTGGGGGACTAGGACACATTTTTGCTTAACTGTACAAACTTTGGCATACATGCACTGTTCTGACACTTGTGAGATGCTATAAATATTTAGGAAGTCAGAGTTAAAGGGATTTGTAAAAAAGGTGGACTTATCTGAAAAGTTTCTATATACAACATAGATTCCATCATGACACTCAACAATATTAACAATCATACAAATTTCATCTGCAATGATGAACACATTATCCCCTGTTGAAACTTTGATAGTCCATTGGTCAGTAATCATTTGGCTGTATTGCCCTCGAACCCCTCTAAAGGCAAGTTCATCAGGAACAGGTCCAACAAAGTGAGGCCTTTTTAAAGAGTATGACATTTGATCAGTCTGACAAGTAGTTTTCTCAGACAACCGACGTATAATTTGTGCAAGTGGACGTTCAGGCTTTCGGACAAGTTTTTTGAGCATTTGAAGGTGGTTCTCATAGGGAAAGGCTGCAATGTTATCCAGACAACCATGCAGTCTTACATCCTGAGCAAGATGAACTAATGAGTGAACGTTGTACACAAGTGAGTCCTTGCCATTTATTTGGCCAAAATGGGTCACAAACATCTGCAACAATGTCTCAGAATACTGACAGTACAATGAAGACAGTGTTGGGCTGACTAAAATGGCAATGCCAGAAAACAGCAGCATGAAATTATTGTAAATGTTTGTGTCCAGGTAGGAAGGCAGAATGACAGGTCCAATGTACAATAAAAACATCCTAAATTCTGTTGCTTTCCACCTATCAAGTTCTCTCAGTTTTCTGGGTTTCCTGGCAAATTCCACTGGAATATGATTGCGTAAACCTGTCAAACAATCAGACATCTGGTTGACAATGCTGGCGGGTAAGCGGAATTTGAGAGGCCCCCTAAGCCAAATGTTCAGAAGTTTCCTTACAACACCCAAACACACAGAATGCATATAATCACCTGGGAACTGAGATACCATCCCTATACTTAAGTCATGGAAAGTGTTAGGGCCATCTAGGTGATGTTCTTCATCGTGTTTTTCTGCAAATGATTCATCTGTCCTCAGTGGACAAGTGATTAAAGGAAATGTCATTCTTGCCACATACTGTCCTTTCTGCACACATTTGTCGCATCCAAAATAGCCATTGTGAGGCTTAATATTTTTTATAAAAGCCCAGACAGGGGCATCACAGATTACAGAATCCAATTTAAAGAAAATCCTTTTGCCTTCGAAATCAATGCCATTCTGTAACTCTTTCA